TGGAAGTTTTTCCTTGTACGATGTGAGGGTCTAAGGACAGAGGGTGTCGTATTGTCATACTGATATTTTGTACAAACTGTAAAGTCCACTGAGACAAATGTAACATTTGTGATATTGGGCTATATAAATAAACATTGATTGATTGATTGAACAAGGTATTCTACATCCTTGATAGAATGCCCTGGCCGTTGCACTGAATGAGAGCGTACGTTTGGACTGACAGTTTGATCAACCAATCATATATTGATTTGTAGCCAATGGGCGTATTCTTTCAGAGTTTCCCTCGGTTCCAGGGTATTCTAGAAGGCCCGCTTGTTAACTGGCTCGAGACAGAGGATTTAGAACGAATGCGACGAAGCAATTCATGCCGTTTTATTGTTTTTAACATTGAAATGACAAGTGCAACGTGAAGATGAAGTTGTTGCGGAATTGTTGTGAGTACCCTTTTCAAGACGACAATTCAGTGAAAAGACGGACATTATAATGCCGTGGGGGAGGGGCGGCGGGGGTGTGTGTGTCTACAGAAGGTCCAGTTGTGATAGACACGGTTCGCCACTGCTTTATATATCTTAGCAGAGATGTTCACAAGTCTTTTTTTGCAAGTCCAAGTCAAGTCTCAAGTCTTTGGTCACGAGTCCAAGTCAAGTCTCAAGTCTTTGTGGGGTGAGACTTGATCAAGTCTCAAGTCTTTGGTCACGAGTCCAAGTCAAGTCTCAAGTCTCTAAAAAATAAAAGTCTCATGTCTCTTCTGGTTGTAATAAGCCTTCTATTGTCTGCTGCTATCCAGTCTGTTAAGAATACTGCACAGCTATATCTAAGACATTCAAAGCATTTACTGTATTATTATCACTCCTATATCTATTAGCATACAGTATCAGTACTGATTAGTTGTTTGTTATATATGATCACTTTAAACAGGCTATTGCAATGCAATATGAGGAAAAACATCACACTTTAGCTAAATGCAAACAACTTATAAGCAAAACACTTCAGAATCAAAAATCAGTATCACAAATACTTTATTAATCCCCCGCAGGGAAACTGTGTTAAAAGTACTTCAAAGTAAACATTTGTTCTGTGCCATTTGCAACTAAAAAACTATTGCTGCAATATTATCTGAAATATACTGAACTGGTGATATTAAAACATGACCTGTTCCAAAAGAGATATCTACCATTAACACCATTTACCAGCCAAATGCTGGTAAATCATGCAAGTGGCTGGTACTGTATGTTGCACGCACCAGCCAAAAATAACAATGGCAATCTATTGAGTGGCTGGTAAAATGTCAACATTCACTAGGCTAGCCATTTGGCCAGTGGACCAAAATGTTCAAATTTGACCTCTGCAACCGTATTGTTTAATTACACTGGGTCTCTAATTACATCTTTTAAGTCTACTATAAATAAACATATTCCTCTATCCTCTCACTCAAACCCAGTGTAATGGTAACCTGATAAACCTGTAACATTAACGTTACGTGGTCAACAATAAACCTGTAACCTGCCTATAAACCGACAGATGTATTTATGTATGTAACTATGTATTTTTCTACGTTTAACGTTAGCCGTTACCGACCTTTTTTATGTCATGTCAAGAGTTGGATGTCAACGCAAACAAGTGTGACAAGCAAACATTCACTCATCTTTTCAAATATTCAGTTACAAAGCTAGTAGCAAGCTAAGTTAACATTACATAGCTGATGCTGAGCTAAACATGTTTGCTCAGTTAACCGTCCATATGCGTTAATGTGACTGACCTCTCCGGGTGAGTTTTCAAGTGCCTGATGAAATGTGACGTTGTTGCACCAGCATCCTTGATTTTAATATTGCAGACTTTGCAGTGTGCGCTCCTTTTGTTGGTGCCGCCGGCGTTTTGTTCGAAGTTTTTATAGTTGAACCTAATTACAAGCGGTACAGCTGCAGGTGTGCCGCCGGTCGCCATGGTGTTACCATGATGTTAATGTTAAAGGTGGGGTAGGTAAGTTTGAGAAACCGGCTCGAGATACACTTTTTGTTATATTCCATGGAATGCTCTTAACACCCCGATAGCCGGCCCGGCTAAAGTAACTGGATGGCCTACCTGCCTGTCAGCCTCCCATCGGGGCACAAACTTATCTCGTGCCCTCATTGGTCATGTGCGCGTTCGTGTGTGTTGGAGAAAGGGCTCTGTGAGGAAGTGGCAGATTTTCTCCGGTTGTGTATTTTCAAATTCTAGCGATCTCGAGCCGGTTTCTCAAACTTACCTACCCCACCTTTAATACGCCAAAAATAGAAAACACAATGATTGTTCACGAGTCCCAAAACACGAGTCCAAGTCGAGTCCGAAGTCTTTTGAGCAGGAGTCCAAGTCAAGTCTGAAGTCTCTGTGTGTGCGACTTAAGTGCGACTCGAGTCCGAGTCACAGACTCGAGTCCCCATCTCTGTATCTTAGCATATTCATACACACTGTGCATACTGCTCACAGGCTGATATCTAGTGTCCTACCACTACCCCTCACTGTTTATTCATCATTCAATTCATTCTATATTTTATTCTGTAGATTGTGTACATTACTTTTCACTTTACTGCTTGTTGCACCTGGTTAGAAGCTAAACTGCATTTCGTTGTCTCAGTACCTGTAATCTGTGCAATAACAATAAAGTTGAATCTAATCTTGAGCAGGAACAAATGTATTTACTTAGTACATATCTGACATTAACGATTAAACACATGTGTGCATTCTTTATAAATGCAAACCGAGTCAAGCCGACTCCGGAGGTGGCGGTATGCACCTTAAAGTTGTTTGCAATCCGCCAAAAAACCGAGCGAAGAAGAAGAAGAAGAAGAAGGCGAAGAAGAAGATGAAGAAGAAGAAGCCGACTCGGAGCTGTCCGACTTCAGGCGAGCTTTTTGACCTCCCCCGGCTGCGATCGGCTACTCTCGTCTACTTTCGAGGCGAGCCGCAACGCGTCTCAAACAAGCCTATTAGCATCATCCCAATACCACTCCTCGACTCCGCTCTTCCCCTCCTCCGAGAAGGTCCTCGCTGCGGAACGCGGAATGGGGCGGGGTCGGATAAAAGGCGGGGTTGGATGTCCGACCCCGCCTTTTATCCGACCCAGCCTTGTGAGTCCACATTACACATCAGTAGATTGCGGTAAGACGATAGACGATAGACGATAGAAGAACCATGTGCTCACCTAGTTGGTCTGTTTGTCCGCGTTATTACATTTGAAGACGATTATACATCATGGAAGGGAACGACCGAAGGTAATACATTATGTATTATGCAACCCAGTCAGGGTCGGCGTCATGGGGGGTCATTCGCGGGCCATGCCCCCCCAAATGAGTCACTGTGCCCCCCCAACGCAGGGTGGCAAGCCTTGTCACTTTGCCGATTTTTTCTTTTTTTTATCATATAGGCTAAGTGAAAACGTTTCCACTAAAGGTTTTTTGTGTGAAATACATCAGAAATAAATAATACAAATATAAAACACAGCCTGAGGTGTGCTCACTGCTGCTCTCTGATTGGTGTGTTGCTTGACCAATGACCCCCGACCTTTTTTTTGTTATCATTACGTGGCTGTGTGTTTAGATGAAAGCCCGGTGGCGATCTGTTAATCTGTTACACTGATTATACAGTAAAGCCATCGAAAAATAATATGATATACAGTACAGTACAAGTACATGGGTCTCTGTGTTTCATTCAAGCTCTGTGTGTGTGTGGCACGAGCGCATTTTGTGAGTGCGCGAGCGGTAACGTGGAATGTTGTGGTTAGCATCTGGTTAGCTAGCTATGCTAACGGATATAAAGGGCTGTTTCTACACCAAGGTGGAGGACAGTCCTCTCCTGTCAGACTGAGAGGATCTTATAACGTCAGCTCAGTGAGGTAAGGACTCTCTCAGTGTTTAGATAGTTCACTTTAGTGTAAGTTATCTCAGTGGGTCTCAAACGGTTTGGTCACCATTTATGTAAGTATTTGCGAGGAACACATGTATATGATCATTATAGTTATTAAAGAGAGAATAAATGAAAAACGGGTATGAAATACTATAGGACAGTAACACAAGAATACAGTTTAAAATGGGAGTGATTAGTGAAATATCCATAAAGAAAAAGTAAATCTGTGTACAGTTCTGTATGGTTGCTGAGAGATGTAGGCTATCCATAGATCTCTTCACTTTGCTCTCAAAGTGCACCAGATTGATGCATTTAACTTCAATATTTTAAAAATAATCTTCCCGGGGGAGCATGCCCCCAGACCCTCCTAGAGGAGGTTAGGTCCACCCCCACCTAAAACATGTTCACATGGATAGGATACTAAATACATTTGCACACTTTTTATATGATGGCCTATGTCCATATCAAATCAAATCAAGTTTTATTTATATAGCACATTTTTCAACGATTTTTGGTCGAGCCAAAGTGCTGTATATACAGTATAATACAAAAATAACCTACAGTAAAGACACTTTACAGCAAATACAACAGCACAGTTTGTGCAGAATATCAGTATGAGAAAACGACACCCTCTGTCGTTATATGTTTCTGTTTTGGTGGTCGTGCCACAACCGTGCATGTATGCACAAGTCATAGGTGCACTATACAATAGCACTACACCCCTGCAATGTGTGTGAAAGACAATAGACTTTACAGCATGTTTTTTTAAATTGAAGTTGGTGTTTGTGTGTTGGTTGTTGACGGCAGTGTGTGCCCCCCCTTGGTAAATGATTGCCCCCCCATTCAAGTTGTTCTAGAGCCGACCCTGAACCCAGTACACATTCGCTGCCTAGTTCCTACCTTGTAAATTGTCTGTATGGCCGTACCAATAAGTTAGCGCAGCATGCTTGGTCTTGAAATGTTCGTAAGAATCCATAGATGTAGAATATCTACATTGTTCATCTTGATGTGTTTTTAAATTCTTACAAACCAACTGAATCGATCTGCTTAAAGAAATAACAACATTTGATACATGTAGACTCTGATTTGAATGTATTCCATTTTGTGTTCTTCCTCAGACACCATACCATTCTTACTGAGGGAGAAGAACCTGTGCCCCTACAGTCTGCCGATTCACCTTTTTATCAGTGCCCATTCTGCTCTTATAAGACTGCAGAAAGGCATTCGGTGATTAACCACATAAAAAAATCATGCAACGGTGAAACATAAAGGTAAAAGCCAATGTTAGGGCATAACTTGAACAACAAACAAAATGCATGTGAACAGACAACATGCATATGTATATATAGGTACTTTATTTATCCCAAAGGAAACTGATGCACAAGCAAGGTAGAAAGATACATATTTAAAATACTAGTAAACGGTAAAAGTAAACAAGTAGAAAACTGAGGTATTACCTTTATACTGGTGTACAGCAGAAATAGCCATAAATATGCACTGTAAATATACTGCATCTATAAGCATATAAGCACTACATACATACATGTATTGCTACCAAAAAGAGCTGCAAACTATTGTTAACTGTCAGCCACTGTCAGCTGCAGTGCTATTTTGCTAGTAGATTGACAATTGTTGCACATCTTTTAATAATCTTAATCTTTTGGATAGTTTACACAAACATTTTCTTAATTCTTTATAGTTGATATACTGATTATCCTATTTTGTCAGTTGACCATCAGTTTATCTATCTGTTTACATCTGTGTATATCTGCTTTTATTTATGGCTACTGATTATTATGTTACTTTTAACTTATGTTAAGTATGATATAACATTAATATAGTTAAAGCATGTGTTTATATTACCCACTATTGTTTTTTAACTTCTTTCAGAGTTCACCATTGCTAGATGTGGTCTGAAGTGCCGCTCAACTACGCACTTTCACTGTTGCTATTGTCCAGCTACACTAATTAGAAGAGACCAAATCACCAAGCACCTCTCGAGTCACAGTGTGTTGGACAATACAATAACTGGAACCCTGCAAACTCTGGTGGCACCACAGACAATCAAGACACCGCAAGGTAACCTGCAGACTCCGTTGGCACCACCGACAGTCAAGACCCCGCAAGGTAACCTGCAGACTCCGGTGGCACCACCGAAAGTCAAGACACCGCAAGGTAACTTGCAGACTCCAGTGGCACCACCGACAGTCAAGACACCGCAAGGTAACTTGTAGACTCCAGTGGCCCCACCGAAAGTCAAAACTCCAGTGGCAGTCGAAACACTGCAAGCCAGGGAGGCAATTGCCCAGCCACCTCCTTTTGCACATGCAAAGAAGCACACAGATCTTCCTCTTGCTTGGCAACACAAAAAAAGAGACGTTGTTAAATGTGAGCAATGTAATTTGGAATTGAAGAAAACAAAATTGAGAACTCATATAAGAAGGAAACACACAGATCCTTTGGACAACATTTCTGAAGACCGTTATCTCAGGTCACAGTTTGTAGATGTTAAAAGAGGGATCTTTGCTGTGGAGAAGTCTTTCCACGGCCCAGCAACCCCAGTTCATGTCATCAAAAATACTTGGTCACAAACACAGAGGTCAGAGTGTGAGGTTGATCAGTGTAATTGAAATGCAGACTTTGCATTTAGAAGTGGTCTCCTCCCATTTGAATGTCACCACATTCGGTCCTTGTGCTTTTGTCCTCGTGCCAATGTACCAAATGTTGCTCTGACTGAAAAGGAACTGTGTGTAATGGTTCAAAACCATTGGTTTGGGGAAAATCGTAAAAAATAACTTTTAAAGAAACAAGAAGATGCTAAAGTGGAGGATGCACCCCTATCAGCTCTTCTAACTGTTGGTGGTCCCCAGACGAAGTTGCATATCTCTGTTTTTGAACCTTCAGTGTCATACTACAGCAGGCTTGGAAGGGTTGTTGTGGCATATGACACAAAGAAAAACACTTGGCATTGCCCTTGTACGATTTCCAAAAAGTCATGCATCCACAAGGCTATAGGCAAATGGCATCTTTTTGAGACAAGGAGGGACCTATTCAAAAGAGTTAAGAGTACAGAAGAGAACTCTTCACTGAATGAAGGCCAACTGAAGCACTCTGTCAGTGATTGGGTAATTTTCTTTGTCAGAGGTATTGAAAGGATTTTGAAATACATCACGTCTCACAAAAAAATACCACCTGAACTTCCCGTGACACTGGTTGCAAACTCCAGAAATGCAAAGGCTTCACTTGGATTTCCAAAGCATCTTGTTCCTGCTGAGGTCACTTGCAAGGAATGTGTTGAACAGAGTGTCCTCAGCGACCCCCAGTTGATCACCAGTAAAGCGAGGATTATAACATGCTCTGGCATAGTTGAAGGTCAGTGACATTGCATGGATGCTGTAGCCTACTTGATAACTAGCGATAGCAATTGTTGCTTTAAAGTGTATTGCTGAAACACAATTCACATAATGTATTTTTATATGACATGTATGCTACATTTGCACTTTCAGGCATATCGACATACAAAAAGACATGTCCCAGTTGCGGTATGGTCTACCGCTATCAGGAGTGGCAGGATGGAATCCACAATTTCGATAACCACATGATGCTCTCTCTACATTTGTGCCTTACTTTAAGAAATGCATTACAGGTTAGGCTTTTTGATTTCTATCAGTATACACAGTATCTACGTAATCAAAACAGGCAAATTTGTATCGGCAGAACAAAAGGTTATTTCTGCAACTAATGATTATTTTCATTGTTGATTAATCTGTCGATCATTTTCAACAGTTGTTTGGTCTATAAAATGTCAAAGAATTGTGAAAAATGTTGATCAGTGTTTCCCAAAGCTCAAGGTGATGTCCTCAAATGTCTTGTTTTGTCCACAACCCAAAGATATTCAGGTTACTGTCAGAGGACTAAAGAAAGCAGAAAATATTCACATTTAAGAAGCTGGAATCAGCTTCTTTTTTTTTAAGATGACTCCAATTAATTGATTATCAAAATAGTTGGCGATTAATTGAATAGTTGACTAATCGATCTATCGTTGCAGCTCTACTTAAAAATGTCTCTTCCTCTTTTCTCAGACCCACACTGCAGTTAGCCGTGTAATTGGGATTATTGAGGCAACTGAGGGAGAGTCCTTCCCTAACAAGGAGAAGGTGCTACAGGCGTATCTCTCCTTTGAAGCCCTCTCTGAACATGACTACACATATGCCTGTGTTTCCTGTGGGTATCACCCTGCAACAGTTGTCATGGATCTTCATAAGAAGGGCGTTTTCAGTATGCCTGGTAAAAAGCTTAACTGAGTTGAATTTTCTATACAATAGATATAAGTCAATCATAACTGAAATACATTGCAAGATCTCAAAGCTTTTTAAAAGTGTTGTAGCAGTGGTTTATCGTGTTTTGTTCAGTTTTGGTTTAACATTTTCAGTTTCATTCAACTGATTTTCTTCTCAATCAGTGAAATCCAAAATCCACCTCAGCAGTATGATGGTAGAGTCAATGTGAAATCCTAAACCGTGGTTTCTACCCCAGTAAGTTATCTGTATCATCAGTTTTAAAGCAAGGAAATGCTGTGAAATGGTATTTCAACACTAGATCACACAATCTAGGGCAGGGGTGGCCAACCCGCGGCTCTCGAGCCGCATGCGGCTCTTTGCCTAGTTTCATGCGGCTCTTCAGTTCATATCGAATTGTATATGTGTGAGTTTGGGGGAGAGCCACTGACTCCTGACTAGTGTTGTACGGTGTACCGATACTTGAAAGGTACCGCGATTCCCTGCCGTTAAAAACGTTACTATTCCTCCGTTTCATTAGTATCGGTACTTTAAGAATGACGGGGGAAAGTACTCCGGTGAGAAAGCGCCGTTTAATAAGAGCCGTGTATGATCAGCGCTCTGCTTCCATTCCCTGCACTGCAGCCGTGCCTGCAGTCCCGCCCCTCTCAAGCACGCTCTAAGTCCCTCCCCTCTCTCATGCACGCGCTAGCTGCCAGAGCATGTGAGAAAACGAGAAGCATGGCTGCAAGTGGGAGTGCAACTGCCGCTGCGCCTCGGCTTTTTGACAAAAAAGACGCCAGAAGCGACATTTGGAAGTATTTTAGCTATATCTCTGACAGTGAGGGCAAGCCTACGGACACCACAAGGCCCGTCTGTAAGAAATGTATTAATTTTATTTAATACGAATTATTGTCATTTATTTTATTTATTGTTCTCATTGTTTAAAAGTTTGTGTTATGGTTCTGGTGTGAAATAAAGCACGATAATTACATTTAAGACTGTTTCCCTTTTTTTAAGAAAAGTATCGAAAAAGAATCGGAATCGCAATTCTTGACTTGGTATCGAAAACAAAATGTTGGTATCGTGACAACACTAGCTAGCTATTCCTGACAGTTAAACCTGATATTTAGTAGGTCTGTTAAGTATTGAATGCTGATAATTCTGACGTAATTTGGCCAGTCAAAGTTGTTTGGGCTCGGATAAAATCGCTCCGTTACTTTCGTTTCGTCCCGTGTTACTTTCGTCCCGGCTCTCCCTACGTGTGTATGTGTGGTGTCAGGAGTCAGTATGAGAGGATGACAGCGTGTCTAATTTTGATGTGGCCCAAGAGCCAATCACAATAATACCTGTGATGCTGTGAACCAATCACCTTTGAGGGGGGGAAACCTATAGTTGATTAAACACTATCCAGTGTTTCCCCTACCATTGTCTTGGTGGGGCGCTGCACCCCGCCAACGGAGCCCCGCGCCCCCCCTGGAATTCAAGGTGTTTCAAAAATATATATAATTATTATTTTTTAATATATACATAGCACCAAATTGCAAATAATCTATAACTACTGTCACTTTTTACATTGAACATGTGCTCTTTTATTAAATAAACTAAACGCTTTCATTTTAAGTTGTGAGTTTATTGTTTTTGACCCTAAGAAACACTGATGCATTAATCAATACCAATATTGCTCCTCTCTCTGCTCCAGAGGATTTAAAAAATATATATCCCAATGCCACAAAAATGCATCAGTGACGTGGTTGAAATCTTGTCTCCAGAAAACAAAAAACTGAAACAAGCGGTATCAGTGACTGTGTGTTTGATGTGGCTCTTTGCAGTAAAATAGAAACAAATTGGCTCTCAACCTCTGACTGGTTGGCCACCCCTGATCTAGGGCAATTTGCTGATGCATCCTGGAAGTTATGATTCTATGGAAAAAAGTAAATTAGACTTTATATACTTAAATGTTTGACATATGTTTCAGGTGACGGCAAGAATCCATTCATTGTCCGTCCAAGTTATCAAAACTGGGCACCGTGGATTGGACAGCATACCAGACAGTCAGATATTGTGTTCAACACGGAGTATGCCAAGATCCATGTGCCAGATGTCTCCACTGATGCGGACGAGCGGGTGACAGAAGAGCGACTGGCTGATGAGGTGTTAAACCTAAAGGTAGATCCAGAACCTCTATCTACCTACCTGATACCATTTTAAATGTAATGCGAGTCAGATGCATCTACTTTTCATGTCACAATAGGTAGCAGAGGTTAGGGCTCTATGTACTGTAAGCAGTGTGGCCTCGACAGCAAGGGCTCTAAGATGGACCTTGTCCTTCGTCTTCGTGAGAAAATGGCCAGCAGGACGACATATAATAAAGTGTTTGAGAAAGTCTGGGGTGCCTCTGGTTAGTGATCCCATCAGCACATAATTATGTCTTATGCTAGCTTGTCTAAATCAAATTGCATGATTACCATTTTACCAAGTTTACTGAGGATTTTCTTTCTTTCTAGGTGGTTGGGCTGTAGTAATGTGCCCATGTGGAGTCGTGTATTCTGTAAAGTTTAATCTCAGAGCTGAGAGTCCCAAAGACTTCACCGACATGCTTCTGTCATGGAAACATTTTCCAAATGTTACAGTGTATGACTACGCAAGGGGGCTGGCCAGTCATGCCAACTGCCGACAACCACTGGATCCTCCCTTCCATCCACATGAGGGGAGGTTACTTCATCCCTCACCAAAGAACATCAAACTGGCTGCAGAGAGGAAGCTTAGGGTAGATTTGGCATGGCTTAAGCACAGGAAAGAGGAAGAGGACAAGGACTGCCATCCAATCACTGGATCGTCTGATCATTATGCTTTGCTTGATGTTTTCCATCAATGCAACAGCAAAGATGACAGGGATCTCCTTCGGAGAATTGAACTTGTTCCAGAGCTTGCTGGGCACATTAACAGCCTGTGTGCTGAGCAGTTATTCTCCGGGATGCGGAAAAACAATTATTTCCTTAATATGCTCACACCCTCTGCACACATCTTCCTACAGAGGGATATCTTGCACCTCTACAATGTGGACCGAAATAACAAAGTGAAAGAACAGTTCAAGACAATTGTGGGAAGCAATACTGCGTTTAGCCTTGATGTTAATGGAAGAATCACCTTGGGTAATCATGAAAAGCTTGCTCTGTGTGCATGTAATTGTGTATTCATCTAATATGGTCTATGTATTTGAAATTGATAGAGGATACACATAGTGCATGTGGTTATCTATGACAGTCTTGGTATTCTTTTCTCAAATGAAGGGCATCAAAGCAAAGAGACGACGACCCCACAACTGACTCTTCATACAGTAAAGGCCCACCAGTCCTGTTGGGGACAGAAGCTGACTCAAACACAGGAAAATATGGTGAATAGACTGTTTGAATCTAGAACACACCATGGAGATTTTAAAAATAATTTTCTAAATGTGTCTATCTGTCTGCTTTCACAGGTATTGGACAGCAGAGGAAGCCCAGATGAACGCCTTGCCTATTTAAACAACCAGATCCTTACACGCACTGACTTTTGGACTTTGGGACGACCACAGGATGTTGAAGGGATGGTAAGTATGGAAATAATGCATAGACAAAGTGTTGTTATTTTATCAGTACAAATGTAGGCAATGTTGCCATTTCCTCTTCTTTTACAGATCCTAAACAGCTGCCTCAAGGTCATAGAGAATCTGGCCAATCACCAGGTAGTGAAGTTGCATACCTTTTCCAATATAAATGTATCCCCTTCTGTTTATAATCTTTTCTGGACTGAAATAACAACTGTCTTACAGGGCATCAAAGTGTTCTTGGCAAACAGCTATGTCGTTCACACTTGGTTTATACCAAGTGTGCAGAATCCTGAACAGCATCTCCCGGTACTTATGCGTATTATCATTATTATATTTGCTGGAATCATATGAGAATCACTGAATGTAAACTATTCATTTTACCATCTCTCACAAGGATAAAGCAGACGATTTCCAGTGGATTCTGGTTCCTGTGTGGCGCCCAGGGCATTGGACAATATGTGTCAGTGATATGAATTTACTTATCTGTATTTCAAGCCGCTTGTATCCGAAAGTTTGGGGCTCTCTGCTGGAACTGCTACCCCCGCGACCCGACCACGGATAAGCGGGAGAAGATGGATGGATGGATGTATTTCAAGCTAAACACAAAATATTACTAATTTCATCAATAAAGTACAACATCTTCTTATACTGTTACTGTAATTTCAAAATTAAGATAAGTATTTCTGCTCAAATTTTGTAATTGTGTGTTCTATTTGCTGTGGTAACTATTTTGTAGATAATGAAGCCACAAGAAAGGGAGAGCTTTTTTTTAGATTCCCTAAATGGCACTGGCTTCCGTGATGAAAGCCAAATGGAAACATTGAGGTTTTTAAGCACAGAAATTATGTTCAGTTTTAATGTTCTGTTCTTATATTTGTATTATTTTTGTCTATGGCTCTGTGTTCAGTTTTACATTTAAAAGATGACCTCAAGCATAAATTGACATGTTATTGAACAAAAGATTGGACTGAAACTGAGCATAAGACATTTAAAATGGGAATGTTCTGTTCCCACCCATTTATAAGCTTTCTTTTCTGTTTGTTTCCTTAAAATCAAGCTCTTGGCCAACCTGTTCGGCATTATTCCACTGTTGGTGGTTCTGCAGTTCTGCAGTGTTCAAAAGTTGGTGGTTCCACCAGTTTGACAATATTCAACCAGTTATATGTTCCAGTTTTCAATGTTCTTGAATGTCCTTGTCCAAACAGCTGTGTGTTATCCCCCATTAGACAAGTTGCTCTGCTTGTGTCACCTGGACCCTGGAGAGAATTCTGTGCAAACGACATTCAAGTTAGTAATTATGATGCACATAATTGAGTTTGATTCCTGGATTCCTACACTGTGTGTGTGTATATGTGTATATAATGTATATAATCTCACCTTCTTCATGAAATAGGGCATACCAAGACAACGGGCCTGTGGGGTGTTTGTGCTCATGGTATGGCTCATCTGATGAATTTAGCAATCCTTTCTTTACAGTTTTGCAATTAGTGTGTAATGTTTGTTTTACTCTTGAACAGTATGCCCTCTACTTTGTGATGGAGTCAGCTTTTGATTTCAGTGAGGTAGGCCACAGAGATACACTTTTGATCAGTCCTTGTGGTGTTCCCTTTTCATTTTAATATGCATCTTTTTTTGCACAGTTGGACATGGAGCATTTAAGGAGATGGTGGTGCATGCTACTCATTGACAACTTCCCCGTGACGTAAGTATTCTTACCGTGACAAATGTTTTGCATGTGTCATCTTGAATCTTTTAATGTATTGTTTTTATGTCTTATGAGGGCAAAAAAAAATAAAAAATGGAATTAAACAATAAACCAGTTATGTTTGTTAACAATTCCCATATCACTTGTTGTCACTGATAGATTCGAAGGCAGAAGATCAACCAAAAGACGACTGGAGAGGGAAGACTGCGAAGACAGTCCCAGGGTAAGTAATCATGATGACCCACCCAAAAGAAGTAAAGTCTTAAAGGAAATGGCATTCTGCAGCGACTTTGGATGGGTATGTAGACTGTCATTTACTACTTAAAATCTCCATGGATGTGCTCCACAGCCATACAGCTTGTTGCTTCCACCTCTTATTCAAGGGGGCAATGTGTCATGATGCAAGTACAACTGTTTTACCATGCAGTAGTAATTCCTTTTATCTGGTGTCTTCCAGAAAAAGGACCCACTGGCAAAGACGGCTGCAGAAATTCTTGTCAGCTCTGAAGAGGAGGATGGAGTACGTGATATGCTATCTGTTATACCTTACATGAAATTCACAGCACTTCCTTCTGTTCTTCTGCAGCGACTGGTAGAAAATGGCTGAAAATATTTTGTACCACTGATTTAGATAGTGTTGCATGTGCAAGTTTGTGTGCGTCATAATTACACATTCAAAGTATCTTGTTGCAAATCAGCAGCAGCACTATAAGAATAGTAAATGTACAGTGTAGTAGCAATGCATAAACTATTTCTCTTCTTCCTAGGAGAAGCACCCCTTTATAAGTAGTGCTATGGCGGCATCTCAGTGGTGCTCTGCAAAGAATATGGGAGATAAAGTCATCCTGCCACAAATTCTTTCCATGGCCCCACTGGACAGAGAAGCAGCTCTCCTTAACCTTGGTGAAGCCAGCAACCTGCGGGACGAAGACAGCTGGGAAGACAGGATGGACCCATTTATGTTCAGGTTCAAATTTGAGTCGGACTATTTAATGTTTTTTGAGCAGTACATTGACAAAGAAAACCTTAAGGTTCATACCTGTTTTGAAGAGCGCGGTTGAATGTTTGCATCAGCAAAGCCTTTCACTGTTGTATAGATTTTTTTTTTGTATACTTGGTTTGGTTTTTATATTTACTGTATTTGCTTTTTCGGTTCTGTTATCTTAATGATTGTTCTGTTATATGATAAATGTTGTAAATAATAAATGCTTTTTCTATCATTCTATTAAATGCAATGTATCATTTGAAATATATGGACTAGATATGAGTATGCACAGAACTGACTAAATGAATAATCAATTAAAATAAATATTAAATAATATACTTAAATACACTAATATATCAATTAAAACAAATATTAAATAATTAACTTAAATACACTAATATAGAAAATATGACTTTTTATACCACATATTTAAATACATTCATGCATTTAATTAGTATGAAGTTTTTATATTTAGTTTTTAAATTATATTTAGTCGAGTGCAGATTTGTATTTGTACTTATTGTAGTTGTCCAGCAGATGATGCCGTTTGTGTCATTAGGATATCCATACACCCCGCCCATCGGACGTCCAGCCCCGCCCACATCCGACCCCGCCCCATTCCGCGTTCCGCAGCCAGGGTCTATAGCCCCATCCGCGTTTCCGCAGCCAGGGCAGGGCCTATAGGGACCTGCTGCCTCCGAACTGGAAGTAAACAGAGCTAGCTCAGGCTAAGAAGCTAAGCTAACATGAAATACATGCATACAAAGTTACTGCTAACAGTGTAGTTCACCTATATAAACGTTACATTCATAATCAAATGAGACAATCTGCAAGAGAATTAGCTATATTTTGTTATTCTTAATGCTTGTCATTCACACGTTGAGAAAAGACGGACTCCACCGCCCGGACCTAACGGAGCCGCAGTGGGCTAGCCCCCTGCGGCTCCGTTAGCTCCGGCGGCCACCACTGGGATAATTGGGTCCCCTATTACAGTGGCGAGCCGTGACTTTTATACCTAGGCCCTCTGACCCTCCCCTTCCCTCGAAAAAAAAGAAGAGATATTACGTCTCAACGTAGACTTCAGCGGAATATCAAAACAGTGGTCCGGGGTGCAAAACGCATCAATGACAGCGACCCTCTACCACACAAAACAACATCATTTATATAAACACCTATCATGACAGGGCACCCACAGCCAAGTATCAATTACAAATGAATTAAGACGGCACGGCGGCCCATATTGAAAATGACTTAGGCCTACCTTTGATGATAAATCACTGAAACACAAAGTCCATCCTCCTGTCCTTTTGGATGAAGCACTTGCGGGCAGTGGCGTAGCTGTGGGTGGGCCCGGGTGGGCCTGGGCCCACCCACATGCACGCAGTAGCGTGGCGTGGGGAAAAATGTAGGGGAAGCCCATTTTTTGGGTCGGGGGGCGGTCAATAACGTAACCAGATGAATGATTACAGCGCCCGGTATCATTTTACACACATTTGTATCACACAGATGCAGGACTTGCACACGCCTGTTATCTAACCGACAGGTCCGCACGCACTCTCCAGCTGAAACTCTCTTCTTATTAATTTAAGCATTTTACTTATTAATGTATGCAGACAATCACACAATCTATGTGATTTTTGGATTTACCGTGCCTCTCAATTGCCCGTGACAGGTTGGCAAGGTCGATGAATCCTGAAGTTGCCCAAGGATTGTTCAGGGAGCACGAATCCTTGTCAAAAAGAAGACATGGCCAGCCAAATAGACGCTGAAGTTTAGCGCTTCCAGTTAGCCACTCTGTGCGGACATAATTGTCCTCATTGAACGTCCGATTCTCTCCCTTTTTCCTCTGTGTACACACAGCTCGAGTGCGGGCATTGGCCTGTCATCTGATTTAATTTTCAGTTGCTGCTGTAGCGGAAGTTTAGTAAAGTTATGTTTGATTAAGTACGCCAAATCTCCACCCTCCATAATGCTTCATTTGCTTGATAATTTCTAACGGCGGTGATGACAGTTACAGTATTAAAACTGATGTTGATGTGATTTGATTGGATGGCAGTGTCCAATCAAATCGCCAGCCGCCAGCCGCCCCTGAAGGGAAGCTAGAGGCGGCTGGCTTCCCTTGGCATGGCCCTGACCAATCACAGGTTGGCAGGGGCATCACGTGGGCCTCATCTGATTGGTCAATCCCTCCATTTTTTTTCACCAAAGGAAGCCAGATTCGGCTGGCCTCCTCTCGCACAGAGAGTGCAATCTACTGTTTCACCATAACATCTAGAGGGGCGCTGTTTCACTCTTTGTAAAGTACTCAATGAGAATGGGGGAGAGACGGCCGGCAGCAACACACAGCAAAGGAGAATTATCGAAACAAAACAAAGTGTTTTTATTTATTTATTTAAATTATAACTACAATCCGAAAAAACAGGGGAAGCCTGGCTTCCCTTGGCCTCCGGGAGAAAACGCCACTGCATGCACGTCTGGCCCACCCACAGCCAATCAGCGCTTCATAGCGCAGAGCCGGGAAGCCCAGAAGGAAGTGCCACAAACTGCAGTTCATCTAGTGGCCGACAGGGGATGGATGCAAAAAGTATTGACTGTATTTTGTTTTCTTATGCGCCGGTTCTTCTGACATGTTTGCAAGTTTATCTATCTAGGTTAACGGCTGACACACACTGAACAACGTAACACATAACGTAAACAACGTAACAAATAAACACATCTAAGCTTTGTTATTGGTTGTAATGTACATGGATACATTTGAATGGTGTGACAATGTCCTATTTGATTGGATTAAAATGTACATATTCTTCCTGTTATGTCTGCCTGCTGTATTTTACCTAATGCAAAGTGACCTGCTGCTCCATCGAAGTCAGTCGCATTGATCCGAAGACATATTTTGAGTGGTATACACTGTTGGAAAGAGGAGATTCCTAGCTTTCTAATGATATCAGGATTGTTTTTGTACTATATTAAGCAAAATATGTCACATTATATAATGACTGTCACCGAGTCATCATTTTGAGAAAAAGGCCTTTAAAGTTTCCTCTTCTCTGGATCGATCTGATTGATTATTAGCGGAGCAAATTATCAATAGTACGGAGGGAAGATATTTTCGTTTGGATTACTGGTCTGGGGGAAGCTCGCGTGTGTGTGTGTGTGTGTGTGTGTGTGTGTGTGTGTGTGTGTGTGTGTGTGTGTGTGTGTGTGTGTGTGTGTGTGTGTGTGTTGGTGTATTTTTGCATTTGTTTCACGGGGAAAACTCTCAGGAGAAACACCGGCTGTTGTTATGCTTGCTGTGACGTCAAGTTACTCCGTTCTCCGCTTGTAATTATACCGTTAAAAGCTGTATTTATCATCTGAATTGGCCGAAACAAGTTTAAGATAGCAGCTGTCCCCCCCATCGTCAAAAAACCTGGTCTCGACCCCGAGGACCCCAGCAACTTCCGGCCGATCTCCAACCTTCCTTTTCTTAGCAAGATCATGGAAAGAGCAGTTGCTGCCCAACTCCACCATCATATGTCCGACCATGAGCTCTACGAACCCTTCCAATCAGGCTTCAGATCCAACCACAGCACAGAGACGGCCCTTATTAAAATAACCAATGACCTCCTCATAGCCGCCGATTCAGGCAACAGGCAACAGTTTGTGTCCATCGGAAAATCCAGCTATCCCCCAGCCCCTGTCAACCAAGGTGTGCCGCAAGGTTCGGTGCTCGGCCCCCTTCTATTCAACATCTACATGCTCCCCCTCGGTGAAATAATCCGCCGACATGGTCTCAACTTCCACTCCTATGGCGACGACACCCAACTCTACATCAGTACCAATCCATCATCCCAGCTACCCCCACTGTCACTTGTCAACTGCCTCCATCCAAGCCTGGATGTCAAAAAATCTACTTAAACTCAACAATAACAAAACAGAGCTCATGGTTGTGGCCCCAAAAACACTGCTCCGGAAGGTTGGAGATCTGCTCCTCACCATCGATGGCGGCTCCATCCACCCTTCCCCTGAGGTTCGCAGCCTGGGCGTCACTCTGGACTCTAGCCTCATCTTCAACTCCCACATCAGGTCTACTGTCAAAACTGCTTTCTTTCACCTACGAAACATCTCCAGACTCCGGCCCTCTCTCCCCGACCCCGTTGCAGAAACATTAATTCATACCTTCATCTCCTCTCGTCTGGACTACTGCAATGGAGTTCTGTTGGGGGTCACCAGCAAAGCCCTGGACAGGCTCCAGTACGTCCAGAACTCTGCAGCCAGGCTCCTCACCCACACTAAGCCCTGGCAACACATCACCCCTACCCTCATCCACCTTCACTGGCTCCCGGTCAAGTCACGCATCCAGTACAAACTCCTCCTGCTAACTTACAAATCTCTCCACTCCCTAGCCCTTCCATACATCTCTGACCTCCTTCAGCCCTACACCCCCCTCTCGTCACCTGCGGTCCTCTGACAAAGGGCTGCTCTCCATCCAGCGCTCCAAGCTGAAAACATTTGGCAACAGAGCCTTCAGTGTCGCAGCCCCCACCCTCTGGAATTCTCTCCCCTCTGCAATCAGGAATGCAGACACTCTGGACACCTTCAAAAAACACCTCAAACACCATCTGTTCACTCAGGCCTTTGGCCTCAACTAATATACAGTACTCAGCAACCTGTTCCTGTTTTGTTTTCTTCAGCCTGTGTATCTGTATGATTATTATTACATTTTGTTTGTTACTTCCCATTGTAAAGCGTCCTTGGGTTTCGTGAAAGGCGCTATATAAATTGAAATTATTATTATTATTAACATTCTGAAAGCCAAGACTTTGTTTATTTGAAATCAGATGAAAACAAACTGTAACGGACCCTGCGGTGTTATCTATGATTACTATATGCCTTACATTCATAATGTCAGCGGAGGGAGGGGAAGCGGCGCTGTGGAAGAGCAGAGTGGCGAGTGAGAGGCGAGCTGTGTTCTTCCCTTTACAAGCTTCAAAAATGCCTGTAGCTAATGAGATTGAATATAACAATCAAAAATAACAAAATATACACAGCTAGATCAGATGGCGTTCTTTTTAGATGCGACTTTAGAGTAGAGGGGATTTGTACAGTGTTCCGCAGCATCCGCTGCTGCGAAAATGTGGGGCAGGGCCATAAATTGGGGGGGCCAATGGCCCCCTGGCCCCCCCGCTTCCGGCGCCCTTGGCCCCATCCACGAGTAACGTTTCCACGTCAGGTGTTATGTATGCTAGCAGCAACACACG